TATAGTAGTAATAAATGCGATGAGAGTACACGTGGCGATGATCTAACGGCCGAGGGGTCACCTCAATCTGGTGGCACTGGCATTCGCATGTGCACCGTATTGAATGCGGTGGGTGGATGTGACGTTGCATTAAATGCGGTGGTTGCTTGTCTCCAAAGGGAATCTTTTCGATGATTGAGTTGTTGGGCGAGGGCTCCCCCTGCGGCCGAGGGCCTGTTTAGCCGAAGGTGTCGTATAGCCGAAGGCGTCGTACAACCGAAGGCGTTGTACATCCGAAGGCTTCCCTGATTGAGTCGGTAGCCGAGGGCTACTGCATAAGCCGAAGGTTACTGGTAGCCGAGGGCTACTGTTTTACGACGTTTTCTCCCAGTAGCTTCGTACGCTCAAATCCGGTTGCCCTGTGTGATTTGGAGCCTTCGGCCAAGGAGGTCGAAGGCACCCCAGTGTGTATTTTGGGCTTCTTTGAGACTTGGGCCACTGTATTTGGGCTTCGAATGTTCCTTGGGCTCAATGGGCCTGTGTAGAAGAAGTAGGAGTCTATGGGCCCGGGGTTCCCAGGCCTTATACTCCATCACTCATATTAATACAAATAACCTCAAAAAGGTTATTTTCCGGCGAACCGGTCGTTTTGGCTCCTAAGTCCGTTCTTGGAAATAGAATCACCTTCCAACCCATAAATCCATACTTATAACATGTGGAACCATACTAATGGTCCTTCATATGGTATATACCTCATATGGTAGAAGAAAAATAAAGGAGAAGTTATAATAAGGTCATTACATACCTTAATTATTCACATTTTTTCCAACTTTTTCCCTCTTTAATCTTCCTCCTTGGACTACTTTAGGTTGAGCTCGAATTTTGGCTATGGAAGATGATTTGCATAGCTCTCTCCTTCCTCCTTTTGCTTGGTTGGTCGAGAATGATAGATGAAAGATGGTGGAGAGGTGGTTTTGTCTCATCTAACCAATGAGTGAATGGAAAGGGGCTCATTAGCTTTCAACCATGTTCCTCCCATCCAATCATCCATCCTTCATGTGCCGTTATGGCTTTAATTAGTCAAATCTTGCACACAGAAATGTGGGATGGCCCCCACCCATGTGGGAGGTCATCCGAAATCGCCCCGAAATGTATATTCAGCCTCGAAAGTTGTATTTCTCTGATTAATAATTCATCTATCTTTCAGGTTCTTGATTGATAAAATTCCTATTTTTTTTTAGAATAAAATTCCTATTTTTATCATCCAAAATTGTAGAGATAATATTTTTGTCATTTTAAAAGGGAAAACCCCCTAAATAAGAGTAAAACATGGTAATAAATTTAACATAGCAGTCGGTATCTAAATCCCTTAAATAGGTTTATTGCTTGTGATTAAACAAAATACCCTCATAGAGTTCTCAGCTTGGTCTTCGCACTAATGTCGTCGGCCGACTGACTGGTGGTACTCTGCCGCTGGACCGCTGCCTACCAAGGGTTCGATCCTAAAAGGTCAACCTAATAAGAAGAGTAGCTCAAAGTCTTATGTAGTGTTTTGTTGTTTTATAGTTTTCTGGTGTGGGACAAATACTTTAACACGCCCCTCAGCCTGAACCGGACTGGACAATATTGGGTGTATAAATGGGTCAAACATACCTTTCACAAGTCACCCATAATCATGAGTGTAAAACAAGCAGTCATATCACAACTGGGATTGACTCTGATACCAATTTAAACCTCGGGGTTTCACCCTTAAAGGTTAACCGCATAGGAGTAACCCAAAATCTTATATATTGTCTTATTATTTTATAGCTTTACAGTAGTTATCTAAATTTCTAAACTAATCAAAACCTTAATGGTTAAGTTACTTGGAAAATGAAAACAAAATAACTTATTTAGAGTATATATTAATTACAATTCAATGAATGTAATAATATATACCCGGGGATCTAAGAGCTAAAACAAGTATGTACTAGGTAAAATATTTTATGTTGCTTTTCAAAATTTTCATGTGAAAGTCAGAATCTTAGAACTGTCAAAAGTTGGACTGGCGAAAGGCTTTACTCAGACTATAACCTGCCGAACTTGTGTGTGACGCTACAAGCATTGTAGAGAGAGTGCGTCCCCATCGGACCTCTCCACCACTGAGGCGTCTCAATCGCCTCATAGTGACTGCACTTCCTCCCCGTCTCCTTCATTTTATTTGTCTTCTTTTTCTTTGTAGGGTTGCCTTTTCATCTCTGTTTGGAGATACTCAATCCATCATCCATACAAGTCATGTTTGTCAACTTATTTCTCTCGTGTTCATCTTCCGACGACGGATGGTGGACGTTGATCAACATCGGGGCCATAGACTAACCATCTTCGGCATCTGTCGGTCGCCTCCTATCGTCATCTTTGACGTCCTCGGTAGTACTTTCACCATGTTTCAGGGAAGAAGGGAAAGAAAGTAGAAGGTCCATAAGACAATCTTAATCAAGCCCCAGAATCTTTCCATGTTAAGTGCCCGCCCGATATTCAACAAATCAACACACTGTTGCAGGGTTGCTCTGATACCGCGGTATCATGCTAACACTCCGACCCCGCGAGACCCAAGGTATTTACTCTTAGATACTCTTCAACCCTCTAGTACTGTCATCACAAACCAACACAAGCCTTATCGCACACTTTGTCCTTACTTGTGCACGCCCTACGAAACTTTCAAAGGGTCACCCATCCCAAGACCACTCCCTTCTAAACACACTTAATTTGGAGTTCTTAGCTAATGAGCTCCTTTAAAAGGAGATGCACATTATTAGTATGAGTAGTGTTATTAATTCCTTTAAATTAATCTCGAGTATTATAGTTAAACATTGACAGACTTTGACTTTACATCCCATTTTTAATGATAATTGACTTTGCATTCTATTTTCAAAATCATTAATATATGCACTTTATTTCACTATAAAATCATTTGACTTTGCATCTCTCTTTTTCATAACTGTTGGGCTGACGAAGTGCAAATATTAATGATTTTATGAATGGGTTGCCCAAAGTCCAATATCACCCAAAACATGGGTGCAAACTCAAATTCCCCATAGGAGGAGGAGGAGGGAGGGGGGAGGAGGGGGGGGGAGGGAGGGGGAAGGAGGGGGAGGGGGAGGAGGAGGAGGAGATTTAAACTTGGAGGCGACGAGTTAGAGGATGATACCGCAGCAGCGATTAAATCAGCACGGTTCGCAATTAAAATAACAGGGGACATAATGAATATAAATATAATAAGTCTAGTTTGGGCTGCTTTAATGGTAGTTTTTACTTTTTTCTTTCATTAGTAGTATGGGAAAGAGTGGTGTATAGATGTCCCGCTAAATGGATTTTTGAGTAAATCAAATGTATTAATTAATTTTGTTATAGAATGTCTTAGAACACGTGACTAATCTGTTCTGCAATTTAAATTAATCTTCAAATAAAACATATTGTTCAAACATAAAGAATGCAAATAGCTACAGGTGGCCACAATTGAAGCAGGGTGGCGGCGATTGAAGTAGAGCGGGCGCTATTGAAGCACGTACGTGGCCACGATTGAAGCAGGTGATGGCGATTGAAGCAGGGCGATGACAGTGATTGAAGCAGGGCGGCGGCAGCAGCTTTTAGTGGTCAGTCGATGGCAACAACGATAAGCCTTGTGGCGGCGGTTTGACTTCTAAAATTATGGATTCTCATGGATTTTTAACGCATTCTTAGTACATTCTCTGCAATTGTCTCTTCTAGTCACCAAAGGTTTCCGTGGACTTTTCAGGTGTCTTTTATTCGTCACAAGTACACATAGATCTGGTTGCAGATTTGGTTAATTATTTAACAAGCTAAAATGTAGAAGAAAAACTCGATTGCACCGATGCTTGTACCAAATGTAGCACTGAGTGTAACGTTTGTGTAACGATTAATGTTCTTACTCATTGAGTTATGTTATTTAACAATTGATCATAAATAGACCGAGAGTGTTGAACATTCTCAAAACTTTGAGTTTTCTTTTTAATAAAAATAAGTTGGATTCTTATTCTTCATATTTTCTTGTAAAACTCTGTGTTGTTATATGATATACATTTGTTTAATTATTTTATTTAATTATTTATTACCATATTATACAGAGAAAATTACTCACGTACGGTAGGACTAAAATATAACACATTATTCCCAAAGTATGATCATATGTTTGAGTTCCCTTAAATATGACTAAATATTACAATTTTACCCCTAATTTAATTAATTTAATTAGTATAATTAATTGCTCGTGGTTCCCTTGCATAACCAACGTCATTTTGTTGGTGACAGATCAGTCTGATGACGACGACAGAGAGCTCCGGTGACAGAGGCAGACAGGCAGATCGATAGAGGCGATCTAGGTGAAAATTCTTACCACCGACAATGGCGGTCCGAATTTAAAGGTCTATGGACTTTTGAAAGTCTATAAACTTATTCATGAATTTAAAAGTCAATAGAATTCATTCGTAAAGTCTATGGATTTAAAAGTCCATTGACTTTATTAAAAGACCATGGATTAAAAAATGTTCTCCACAATCCATATCCAATACATCCAATACATCCTTACATATATATATACATCCTTACCTAGGATAAGGTTCAAGTGAGAAGAACCCTTTAGGTGAGAAGTGAGAATGAATCTCAGTCATTGGATTCGACTAAGTTGCAGTAAAAGACACTTCATGATGCACTGAAATATGCAATCTAGCACGGTGGCATTTCTGTAATACTTCTGAAAAATCCGTATTACACTTGTCTAATGCAACATGAAGCTATTTCGGTGCAACGCCGTCAAATTAGTGCAACATGAAACAGTTTTAGTGCAACATTGCAAAATTTAAATATTACTGCAACATAAAGCTATTTTTATTGCAACTTCATAAATCTAATAATGGCTGAGATTCATTCTCACTTGAACCAAAATCTATAAATCTATATATATGAACTCATATGGCAGTGAGTCGTAAACAATGAATATAATTCAAATATGAATCAAGTAGTAAAGAATATCAAAAATCAAAACGACAGCAATCTAAACATCTAAACTAATCTGGTAAAAAAACTTCTAAACTAATCAAAACCTTAATGGTTAAGTTACTAAGAGAATGAAAACAAAATAACTTATTAAGAGTATATATTAATTACAATGAATGTATAATAATATATACCCTTGATCTAAGAGCTATAAGAAATACTTGTATGTACTAAGTATAAATTTTTCTGCTGCTCTTCAAAATTTTCCTGTGAAAGTTAGAATGCTTAGAACTATCAAAACTTGGACTGGCGAAAGGCCTATACTCGGGCAATAACCTGCCGGACTTGTATCTGACGCCACAAGCATTACAGAGAGTGTTCGGTCCCATCGGACCTCTCCGCCATTGAGGCGTCTCCACCGCCTCGCAATGAGTGCACTTCATCCCTGTTTTCCTCATCTTCTTTGCCTTCTTTTTCTTTGTCGTAGGATTGTTTTTTCGTCTCCGTTTGGAGATACTCAATCCATCATCCATGCAAGTCGTCTTTATCGGCTTACCGCTCTCGTATTCATCTTCCGATGGCGGAGGGTGGGCTTTAATCAACGCCTGTGCCATAGACTCATCATCTTCGACGTCCTCGATAGTACTTTCACCATGTTCCGGAGGATAAGGAGAAGAAAGTAGAAGGTCGGTTATGGGGATAGCATCGTCGAAAAAGTTAGGGAAGAAGTCCAAATCATCCAAGCTATCTTGGGGTACGCACAACCCGCCGCCGCCGCCGCGACTGGTCACTTTTCCTTCATCCACATCGCCGCCGTGACCCTCCCGGCGACATGATAAGGCATCTGACTTCGTTCTCGCCATAGTCTCCAAGAATGAGTTATATAGAAGTACCACAAGTACCAAATTTATAATAATGATAGTATAACGAAAAAAAATAAAATGTACGTTACGTACGGCGTACAGTACGATCTCAGTTAGAATGTTGGCAGATTAAGAGGAGCATTAGTAGCAATTTGACGCGTTTACGATGAATGGATAAAAACGTAACGCGGGGTGGTGGGTTTTTATAATTAAATATTGCGTTGACCGACCGCGGAGGTTGAAATTTGACGTCGTTAAGGATTCCATTTGTAGTAGTTGCCTTATATTAGTGCATTACTACGTAATTAATTACTCCTTTCCTTCCAAGTTAATGAAAGCGCATAAAACAGGATTGTACTTAACTATGAGGATCCTATTAATAGAATAAAACTTTATCAATATTTTAGGGAAAATATAGTGATCTTTTTTTAGATAATTCCCTAAATAGGAGTAAAAAAGTTTTGAAATTCCAAAACAGGAGTATCGTGTTTTTTATTCCCTGAATAGGAGTAAATTTCTGCCATGTTTGACATTACAAGGCTTTGAACATGGCATTTTTTCCCAAACTTGGCAGATTACTCCTATTCAAGAAATAAAAAAACATGATACTCCTATTTTGGAATTTTAAAACGTTTTTACTCCTATTTAGGACAATTTCCAATCTTTTTAATTTATTTTCTAAAATTTTAGGCACATTTAAAAAATTTACTCATTGTTTTTTGGTCTTCAAAAATATGCAACTTTATTCTTTTTGAATCAATGAGTTTATGTTTTCTACGTAGTATTATTTCTCTCTTCTTTATATAAATTTCAATCACACAACTTTGGATGTTTTTACTTGGACTGTAATTTGTCCCAGACCAGACCAGACTAGTCCAGACCAGACAGTTCAGACTAGATCAGACCAAACCAGACTTGGATAGTTATAAAAATACAAAGAAACCAGACCTTACCAGACCAGACCAGTTCAGACCAGACCAGATCAGACCAGACCAGCAAATTACAGTCCAAGTAAAAACAACCTTTAATATAGGGAGATTTCCCAATAGGAATAAATGCAGTTTGGAATTCGAAAATATGACTCTTATGTTTTTATTCTCAAAATAGGACTAACATGACAATATTTATTGTCTTCTTGTAGGCATGACTGTCAAATAGTTGTTGTACTACGTATTCAACATGGCAGCATTTATTATAATTAATGACACTAATTTTTCAATTATGACAGTATTTTCATTCTTGGCAGTAACGACTCCTATTTCTGGAAGAAAAACACAATAATCCTATTTTGGAATTTCAAACCGCATTTACTTCTATTTTGGGTATACTCCCTATGCCCCTTAAAATTTTGTTCTCTTTCCGTTTTTTAGTGTCCAAGAAATTTTATCACTTTTCCAGACCATTTAATCAATTAATCTTTGAGTTATATTATTTCGCTCTTCACATAGTTTTTACTTTATTATTTCTCGTGTCATTCAAATTTCACAAATTTAAATGGCAGTGTGGCAGCCTCACACGTGTTGGCTATGGTTACAAGGAGAAAAAATTAAATTAATTAAGGAAGATTAGTTACATTTTTTGGCTAAATTTTCTATCTTATCATAATATTTTTTCTATATTATGACCAACATGTTTGATTTGAGATAGAATACTTTATTCGTAATTGCAGCTTATAAAAGGAAATAGAATACTTTATTCGTAATTGCAGCTTATAAAAGGAAAAAGTATAATGTCCACCTTCGTCGTGAACCAATTATGATAAAATATATTCTCAATATGGTAGCAATTATTTGATTAATCAGGGCCAAACTTTTTTATGGTTTAATAATAATAGGTTATTTATATACGCCTAGTATGGTAGTTATTTTAATATCTTTTCATTTCTGGCTAATCAAAGGAATAATGATTGAACATACCAAGTATATTTCTTATACATGCATTAATCACTAATCAGGGCCCAACTTTTTATGGTTTAATAATAATAGGTTATTTATATACGCCTGGTATGGTAGTTACTTTAATATCTTTTCATTTCTGGCTAATCAAAGGAATAATGATTGAAATACCTGTCAGCATTTGTTAGATTATACATGCATATGACCTGTCAGCATTTGTTAGATTATTTGAAGATTAATGAAATGAGGTGTTAGATTATTTCAAAGATTAATATTGAGAGAAAGAGATTATTTAGAGGAATTATATAGAAAGAATGACACGGATAAGACCATTGGCTTCTCCTTGGATAGAAATAGGATTAATATCTAACCTAGACAAAAAAGAGACTATTTATTTATGAACTGGCAAATATACCCCCACATAATCTCAAAACAAAACACCAATCTTCCCTTCCCGCCTACATCTTTCGATCTGCATAGTCACCTTCCAAACCAGGGAGTCGCCGACATGGAATCGCCGATCTAGGCATGGAATCGTCACCGCCGCCCTAGCCATGGATTCTCCGTCTCCCTAGCCATGGAATCTCCGCCGGCTCCCAAGACATGGCACCGCCTCTGCTTCCCAAGTCATGGCTCTGCCGCCCCGTATCTGATGAGGCCATAAGCATCCCCGCCGATCCTCTTCACCGCAGGTTCCACAGATCTCGCCGCTTTCGTCGTTTTCTTCTCCACTTCTTTTGCCCGACAGTTCCCCGTCCTTCTCCTCAAATCGATGGCATGATCTCATTTTCTAATGTTAAAATTGAAGGGTGGGGAGAGCAGTTCGTGAGCTGATGGGTTTCTAATGTTAAAATTGAAGGGTGGGGGAAGCAGTTCGTGAGCTGATGGGTTTCTAATGTTAAAATTGAAGGGTGGAGGAAGCAGTTCGTGAGCTGATGGGGGCAGCGATGGTGGAAAGGGTTGGGGACGGTAGGTGTCTAGGGAAGAAGGTTGGCGTGGGGAAAGTTGGGGTAGTGGTGGCAATCGGAGGGGGTGTGGCAGCCGATTATACAGGGTTAGGTTAGGGTGGGGAAAGTTGGGGTGGTGGTGGCAATCGGAGAGGGTGTGGCAGCCGGTTGTACAGGGTGAGGGGAGGGGGCTGGATCGAGGCTGAAGTGGCGGCGGGGCAGGGGGCTGGCCCCTGGGTGGAGGACTGGTACCTCACGGCGGCGTGGACTTGTCACTAGCCCTACTGGTCACTTGCGGCGTTGTGGACCGCTCGCTGGCGTCGGCGCGAATAGGTCACGGGTTGGGCAAGGGGCCGGTCACTGGTGGGGATAGGTACTGGTCACTGGCGGGGATAGGTACTGGTCACTGGCGACGGGGGTATGTACTGGTCACTGGCAGCGGAGGGGGACTGGTCACTGGTGGTGTGGTAGGTACTGTTCACTAGCGGGGGACTGGTCACTGGTGGTGGGGGTAGGAACTGGTCACTGACGGGGGCGACGGGGTACTCATCTCTGGCGGCGGTAGCGGAGAAATGGTAATTAGCGGCGGCATCTGGTTACTGGTCACTGACTCACTGGTTGATTAGGGGTGACGAACTTTATAACTATGTCACTGGTCACTGTGACATTGGTCACTGTAGCGGGATGAATTTTGTAACTATGTCACTGGATGAATTTTGTAACTATGTCATTGGTAATTATAACATTGGTCACTGCACATTTGGTCACTGTAACGGGTTATTGTAGCAGGCCAGTGGTTTTGGGCTTAGTAATGGTGTAACAGTCCCTTAAGTATTATTTAGTCTTATTTTTGGAACTTAAAAGAAAAGTCTCTTTTTTTGTCCAAATGCTTTTAATTAGTATTATTTGAGGACAAACCCCAATTATATATTCAAAAAGAAAATTCGGTATCACGATTCAAATCCCGAATAATTGTAGATTATCGTTAAAATACATTTAATGCATGTCATAAAAAAGCTAATTATATGAATATTATTGTTGATGAATAATTTTAAGCTTTGAGATTATTCAGAATTTAATGCGTAAAAATGACATGACAATTAGGTGTACTAGAAAAACTGTTTATTTGGATACCACTTTGGCATTGGTGATGCTAAAAATTAAAATAGGGGTGAAAACAAGTCAAGCTCTTTCCAACTCGGGTCAAACTTTTGCCTGAACCAACTCGGGTCTATTTTAGAATGTGGAGGCCCGAGCCTAACCCTTTTCCCCTGAATAAATGCCTATTTTTTCGGCCTAGGCCCGGCCTGTTTAAAAGTCTGATCTGGCCTGGAGCCTATTTACTACGCTTATTGAGAAGACCCTGTTATTCCACTTAGAAACCGGAATTTTGAAAGGACATGCAAGCCCCAAGGTTGCTATCCCAATAGGTCAGCGGGCAGACCTCGGTAAAAAAAAACGAGAAATTCGCGGGTATATTCACAGCCCGCAAGGGGAGCTCTTTAGTCAAAAATAAAAATTAAAAAGTGACAAATTCTTTTAATGTGATATAAAAAAATTATCCCCTAAATAATAACAAAATAACTAATAATATGTTAGTAATTTAGCTTAATAAATTTGGGAAAACTGTCAAATAGGTCCTCGAACTTTCAAAAAAAAGTCAATTAAGTCCTTTTATAGGAGACACTGTCCGGCCGTCGCGATTTGGGGCGGTTCCCGGTGGAATTTTTTGATGGAATTTTTTGAGCATATTATTCATCAAGTCTAGTTTACTCATACCAAATTTGAGCTACAAATTCAATCGGGAACACATTCAAATTAATTCTTGAAGATAACTGCGCATTTTTGCGTTCTCGAATTAATTTGAATGCGTTCCCAATTGAATTTTTAGCTGAAATTTGGTATGAGTAAACTAGACTTGATGAATAAGATGCTCAAAAAAATTCAACAAAAAATTTCATCGGGAACCGCCCCAAATCGCGACGGCCGGACAGAGTCTCTTATAGAAGGACTTAATTGACTTTTTTAAGAAAGTTCGAGGACCTATTTGATAGTTTTCCCAATAAATTTTTATGTGCTTCAATGATCCTAATAACCTATTAACACACTTTATATATTTAAAATAGTATTCTAACTTATAATATGCACTCCATAAAAACACTTTCATGCCCAATATGTTATAGTCAAGTATACTAATTTATAAAATTAAAGTTAAATATTAATAATACAAATAAATACAAATATAACTAAATATATATATACATAAATAGGTCAGTCTGTTAAGATAAAAAGACTTCACAATTGGGCCACGTTTAACCTCT